GTTCCTGCAACGCCATTGGTGGGGTCGTGTGTCTGTCGTAAGACAAGGCGGAGCCTGTAGCTCCTGCCCCTAAAAGCGGGACACCCGCCAGTCACTTTGCAAGTGGTTTGGGAATAAGTGGTGTAGGAGTGTGCACAGCTCTGCCTCCTGGGGTTAGGCCTGGCTGGAGGTAGGGCCTTGTCTAGGTAGTGGTGGGAGCCACGTGGCAGCAGACCAGCTGGGGAAAGCAGGCCACCTCCCTGGGCAAATAAGAGGCAGCCTTCTCCACTCCCTGAAAATAAACCTTCACCTGCCCGAGCACAGCTTGTTCTGGGAGCAGCACTTCAGCCTTGCCCTCCCCACAGAGCCTGCCCTGCCTAATGGCCACCATGCAAAGCAGCAGCCCTGCCTGTTGAGGGCTTGCTTTCTTAACAGATAGTAGAGATGAAAGCGGGCAAACAATCAATGAGGTGGTCAGATATCCAGGTTGTAGCCATATTGCTGTACAGCAGGGGTGGCCAGCCTGCAGGTCTGGAGCCACATGCAGCTCTTCAGGAGTTAATAAGCATCTCCTTGAATCTTTGCACAAGCACCAGTTTCCAAATGGGTGACCAGCTTCCAGCGGGCAGCCATATGGAAGCTGGTCACGGTGTGCTCATGCAGATTCAAGGAGACGCTTATTAACTTCTGAAGAGCCGCATACAACTTCAGAGCCACAGTTTGGCCGCTCCTGGTGTAGAGGCAAAAGGAATCAAAACTTAAGGACTCGTGGCAGAGGTGATACCTTTTATTAGACCAACTAGATATTTGTAAAATATATATACATATATTAGTTATCTGCAAACTTTTGGGCACCCTTCGTCAGGCATAGGAGACGGAAAAGATTGGAAAAGTTCTCCTACATAGAAATGAAAACCTAGGAGAACTTTTGCAAAGTTAATGCTTGAAAATGCACGGGAGAACTTTTACAATCTTTGCAATCTCCTGTGTCTGATCAAGAGTGCCTGTGCCTGAAAGCTTGCCAATAAAGATTTTTTTTTTTTTTTTACAAACATCCAGTTGGTCTAATAAAAGAGATCACCTCTGCCATGAGTTTTGATTCCATGATGTTTTAAAGAATTCATTTGGTTCTTGTCCCTGACTTGTCAGTGCTACTGAGTCGAAGCCATCCCTTTATACTCCTCACAAAACAGACTGCTTCAGGAAGAACAAGAAAGAGAAAACAAAAAGGCAAAAAAGCATGATGCACCAGTGAAGCCAGAGGTTCAAGGCATGTGGATGGATGAATATGGAGCAAAGGGTCCCTTCCAATGTAAAAATAAATCTAATTTCCACACGCATAACACTTCACGCCAGGCCACCCTTAGCTGGCTAAGATGCAACCAGGGTGACAGCTCTGTGGTGTGCTCCTTGGGAGGTGAAACGATGACAATCATTTGCAACCTGTTGGACCGGGAAGAGAAAATGGAGAATATGTTCAGACAGGCGTATCGGGATGCGTGTGAGAGGGCTGCAAAGCTCTTGGAAAGAAAATATATGAGTAGGTGTTAAAAAAAAAAAGTATTTGGGAGCAGTTAAGGAAGCTGGGGCTTTTATATCACTACTCTTTCCTGTATCTGAGCAGGGAAACAAAACCTGGTTATACACAGTCTCATTAAAAGAACATTAAGGTTACAAAGTCAAGCACTCCACTTAGGAAGTGCCAAGGTTGCCAGGATTACTCAATTTCATCACCCTGGGGCACGTGCATTGTGATAGTCTTTAATTACATGAGCGCTGAGTGAGGCAAGGATCATCTGGGGAAATGGAATAGAATGCCAGGGCATCTATGCACGTGCTCCAGGGTGGAGGGGGGCATGCTTTAATTAGAGCAGCTCTGAGAGCCACTCTAATTAAAGCACCCGCAGCATCATATGTATTCAGTGTCCCACGATTCAAAATGGTGGCAGGGGCGCTTTAAGTAAAGCTCGAACAACAAGCTTTAGTTAAAGCACCCTCACTACTGTTTTGAAATGCAGGGGCGCTGAATACATGTGACATGGAAGCTGAGGGATCACACTAATTACCATGCTCCAGCAACTCAATTAATTAGTTGGATCAGAGCTGCCATGTGAATAAGTGCCCCTGTTTCCCCAGAGGATCCCTGCCTCACCCAGCAATCAGGGAGTCTCTGGTACAGAGCTGTGTAGTGAAGGGAGCTGTTTCTTATAGGACCCCTGATGCATTGATGGCAGAAGTTGGAAGGAAGCCTGGAATTGGAAGAGAAAGGTTAGTTTCATAGTTAAGGCAGGTGAGCATGGTCCTGGAAGACTGGATCCTAAGCTGTCTATGGGTCCTGCTACATGTTTAAATTAAAGCTGGCTAGAAACCAGCTGTAGAGCTGTTACACATTTTCAAGCACTAACTTTATAGCTGGTTGGCTCTTGTTACAGATGGATAGTCATTTTTATCCTGTGATCACTACATTTCAGGTGTGGCCACTCTAAATTTATTGCGTGATTGGCCAGTGAATTAATATATGTAAACATGTAGCAGGGGCCTGTCACAGTTCTTTTGCAGTCCTCAAATCACTCACACCAGAACATTTCACAAGTGCTCCCTAGCTGTATGCTCCTCCTTTTCTTGCTGCCTGACCCATTTATAGTTCAGCCCACAGATGCAGCTGAAGTCAGTAGGAGGTGTGCAACAAACATATAGATCAAAGGAAGGTAGTGCTGGAAGGGGCCTCACAAGGTCATTTAATCCAGGCCCCTGCCCGAGGTAGGATTATCCCCAACTAAGCCATCCCAGCTAAGTGTCTACCCAACCTGCTCTTGAAATTTTCCAGGGATAGAGATTCTATAATTTCTCTAGGTAGCCTGTTCCAGTGCTTGACCACCTCATAGTCAGAAAGTTCTTCTTGATCTCTAACCTAAATTTCCTCTGCTGCAGATTGAGGTCCCATACAGCCACGGAGAAAAGCCCATCTCCATCCTCTCTGTAATTACCCTGCAGATATTCAAATACTATTATCAAGCAAAACACTGGCTTGCATCCACAGATGCTTCTCAAGCAAATCCCAGGACGTCATTCTCCCATTGTACTCAGCCTTGGTAAGGTCGCAGCTGGAGTACTGTGTCCAGTTTTGGGCTCGCGAATTCAAAAAGGATGTGGAGAAGCTTGAGAGGTTGCAGAGGAGAGCCATGTGCATGATCAGAGGTCAGGAAAATAGACCTTATGATGAGAGACTGAGAGCCATGGGACTCTTCAGCTTGGAAAAGCGCAGGCTCAGGAGCGATCTGGTGGCCACCTATTGGTTCATCAGGGGTGTTCACCAAGATCTGGGGGAATGTCTGTTCACCAGAGCGCCCCAAGGGATGACAAGGTCAAACGGTCACAAACTCCTCCACCGTTTCAGGCTGGACATAAGGAAGAACTTCTTTACTGTCTGAGCCCAGAAGGTTTGGACTAGACTGCTGCTGGAGGTGGTTCAAGCACCTACTTTGAACGCCTTCAAGAGACATCTGGATGTTTATCTTGCTGGGATCCTATGATCCCTGCTGACTTCCGGCCCCTGGGGCAGGGGGCTAGACTCGATGATCTTCTGAGGTCCCTTCCAGCCCTAATGTCTATGAAATCTATTAAATCAAATATTCCCTCCCCACCCCCAGCCAGTATTCTCTTCTCTAAACTAAGTAACACTAGTTCTTTCAGCCTTCCCTCATATATCTTGCTTCCCCCAGTCCCTTCGCCACTGTCCACTCCCAGTTGCTTTCAGGCTCAGCCTTTAGCCAGAGGGGAGCTGCACTTAGCTGGGAGGCTGCAAACTGCATCCAGAACTGCAAATAGCTGTATCAAGGCTGGGCTGGGTAGACAGCTGCATCTCCTGGCCTGCACAACTGCTGCTTCTCCCCACTTCCCCCTCTTCCTGGTTGCAGTTAGGACACAACTTCCAGCCCCTGGGGAGCTGTGCAGAGGCCGGGCAGCTTCCAGCTGTGCCATGGTGCAGCTGGGAGGCAGGCCCAGTGGTAAAGGGTAGGGGGAAGGAGGGTAGAGAGAAACAACAGCAGTGAAGATGCAGTTTCCAGCTCAGCGCTGGTGCAGCCCACCACTAGCTGAAAACTGAGCTGCCATGCCAAGAAGCAGCAGCCTGCACTGCAGGCTCAGTCAAAGCCCTCCAGCTCTGTGGGTTGGATTCAGTGACTACATGGACCGGATCCAACCCACAGACTATATGTTGCCAAACCCTTCCCTAAAATGTGTCCCATCTGGCCCTGCAATCTGAAAGCATCTAGCATCTCTAAATAATCTCTAACTTGTTCTACCATTACTAGCTTGTTTGTCTCCTTCCCCACCTTAGCTACCAACCGCACTCGTCATCTCATAGGTGCCCCTATTTGTGAAGACAGAAGTAAAAAAAAAAGGTATGAAATACTCAGACTTCACTGCATCATCTGTAACTAGATTGCTTCCACATTTCATAAGGGACCCGTGGTTTCTCTGGCCTTCCTCTTGTGCGGGCCAGCTCCCGATCCCATCCTTGCCATGTGCGAGCCGGGCCCGTCTCTGAGCATGCGGACTGTGGCCAGCAGCCTGGGCACGCAGGGTCAGAGGAGACCACGGGGCGGTAAGGTACGCGTGAGCTAGAATCAGTTACAGAGGCGTAATGGTTGATTGAAAAGATTATTTACTTACACCCAAGGTGGTCACGGTGTAGGCTGGACAGCTTTCCAGGCGCAGCTCCGCTTGAATCCTCGTTGGAGGACTCTGACAAACTCGGTTCTTTGACCCCGGAGTGGTTTAGGCTTCGCGGGTTCGGCAATTCTTTCCTCACGGAGTGGCTGAAACTCCGTGGGTTCTGTTCGGTTCCCAGGTCCCCCGGAGCTGTTAAGACTCCGTGGGTTCGAAAATTGGGTATATA